CTATCTATCTATCTATCTATCTCTCTATCTCTCTATCTATCTATCTATGTATCTATGTATCTATCTATCTATCTATCTATCTATCTATCTCTCTATCTATCTATCTATCTATCTATCTATCTATCTATCTATCTATCTATCTCTCGTTTGTTGCGACATGGACGTGTGTGTGCGGACGTACTATATAAGGGTGGTCGATCGATGTGAGGAATGAATAACTGCATTTGTGAATGACGTCCATACAAGTAAAATATTTGAGAAATAATGAAAACATGCCTTGCATACATCAGCTCTCACAAAACGTTTGGCCATGCACTCACAATACTTGCCCCGTCCGCCCGCGTGAATGTCCTCTTCCTCATCGTATGTGGTGTGCAGTACAAATGACAACAACATATACAAGATTGTGCAAAAAATGATGGACAATGCATCTAGCAACTTCGTCTTTATCGGACAGGGACATGGAAGCACTAGCGCATATCATTCGCGAATACGGGAATAGGTATCCCGTTGTCAGCACACAAGATGCGCACAATAACGAAGTGTTGCAACTCACTCGCAACGATTTCCTTTTACTCGTCGTCGAACAACAGTGGTTAAACGACAACGTGATCAACTTTTATCTCAACCTCGTAGCATTCGACAACTGCTGTAGAATACAGCACGCAGAATGCGACGCGGATAATGAGATAGTCATTAGAGAAGGAAACGATCGCATTCCCAGAGTATCAGTGCTGAGCTCGACTTTTTTCGTCAAATTTTTCGATAATGACATGAGATATAGAGGTCGAGAGGTAGAACGCTGGTACCAGGATGTAATTATAAGTGACATGAATTTGATTATTGCTCCTTTCCATATCGCACATCAGGACCACTGGACCTTGGTCGTGGCTGACTTGAGGAGGAGGAAATTCGAATTCTACGACCCCCTCGACCCCGACAAGGAGTTCGCGTTAAAAGTAACCGGCGGGTTCGCAAAGTTTTTATTCGAAAGATCGAAATCGCAAGGCAAAGAGGTGGACACGAGACCATTCAATCACATATGGAATGTAGAGGGCATTCCAAAGAAACATGACACGAACGAATGTGGGGTCTTTGTACTCACATATGCGTCACTTTTGGCACGGGACCAACTTCCGCCTTTCTGTTTCACCGTAGATGACATACCCGCGATACGTTGTCGGATGGCATTGGACACAGTGGCTCGTGAGTAGTGTGTGCATGATATTATGTAGTATGATTGCGAAGGGAGCGGACATGGTTGGCACGAGGTGGCGCTTGACAAAAAACAATGTATATAAGGTGTTAATTATTCCTCGGTGCATTGTGTCACTTGCCCCTTGCATGGTACCTTACACCTTACACCTTACCCCATACACCTTACACCTTACACCTCACCCCTTACACCTTACCCCTTACACCTTACCCCTTACACCTTGCCCTTTATACCTTACCCCTTACCCCTCACACCAAAACGCATATTTGTAATGGTTTTTGCACTTCAATCATCTCAAAAATGACAATTTCAATTTCGTTCAAAAAATATAAAATGTCCGTTTTGACGAAATCGCTGTTATATTGAGAAAATTATGCAGAAAACTTTGAGCTACCGGGCTATTTTCTGGCTTCGGCTAAGAATGATAGCTATGGAATCTACACAAAAACATTGAATTTCTTTAACCCCAACCATTGATCCAAGGAGCATTCAGACCGAAAGCCACCTGGCTTAGAGCCTCTCAGCAGCCCAACCCTACCTACCCCACCCCTATACATCTATACCGAATCTCTACCAGGCCTCACGCCCCAACTGCTAGGTTACAGGGTGGCACGACCCACCCTGGAAGACCCCCACCTGCTAGGCTATAGGGCAAAACGACCCGCCTCAGATCCGGCCAGCGTCGACTAGGTACCAACTAACCTACAGACACTAGAGTGTTTTCCACCCTCGGCAACTCCTTAGATCTCTCTACCAGGTTTCATGCCCTCGTACAGCTCGAGTTACAGGGCAGCGCGACCAAGTCCCAGCACCGACCAGCATCGTTCTGGCCTTATCTATTCACAAACCACCCGGACCCAGGACTTCAGCAGATACCAGATAAACCACCAATCAGCATCACAGTTGTGGTTGCTATCATCCAGCTCCTTCAGGCGCTGGTTGCAGGTATCCCACAGAACAACCCTCTCAACCCTACTCGGACTACTCCGGCAAGTCTTACCGCGATGAAGCCACCGTCTTCACCGCTGCTATACCCTATTTCCACCCTACAGGCTAGCCCCTTCGCCACAAAGCGAGTTATCTCCCACCATCGCAACCACCACAACCCCCGGCCACTAACTCCAAACTTTGAAGAATTTTTGGATTGGAAATTCAAGACATCGGCAATTCGCAAAAATCAGATGCAGCACTAACTTCCACGTCGTGACTTTCTTCCTGATATGAGTTTCAACTGCATCCATAACTCAGGCGGTGACCAGATTGCAGTTTTCAGGTTTTGAATGCATTTTGAGACCCAAATCTTGACTCCGCATGTAGTTCTCCTTTCTACGCCCGAATCATTGATTTTAGTACCATTTTACTAGGAGGAGAGGAGCTCGGATCTGCAGAGCAGTCTCTCCCTTTGTGTTTCTATTGAATTCAAACTAGACATAGAGACTTACCATATATTTTCGTCATGTCTAGTTTCGTAATGAGTTTCTCTTCCCCCATCCAGAAGTGATGCGCACGAATGTTGATTTTAACAGGGGGAGGGGATCTCAGGTCCGGAGAACAATCTTGCCCTTCATGTTCGTAATAAAATCCAGGCAGATATCAGAACTTCCCAAACATTTTTGTACCCTATTATTTGTTGCAAATGAGTTACCCTCACAAAATTCAAAACCAATCAGGCACAAGTCTTCTTTTTTTTTTGATAAAAAGAAGTGCCGACGCGTGAGGTTTTGACTTTTAAAAGGCACAAGCAGCTATGTCGCGGTGCGAGTTCCAAATGCGCCAAAACATCATAAAATAACCGTCTGCACACCATGCTCCCCCCCGTGCAAAAAACCTGACCCGCCTGTTTGAAAATTCAGGCCGTGTTATTATCGCCTTTTTGAACTCAGCGCGTGAGTGACCCGCCGGTAAATGTTTTTCTTGGTCATTCAGAACAATGGTTGCCAACCAGACGACGTCTAGATTCCGATCCAGACAGTCCAGTGTTCGGGTCCGATGTCCTGTTTAGAGGGTCCGGTTGGACCCTCGTTTCAAGAAATTCGAAAAAAAAATTATGTCCCCAGGCCATTTTTTTATGGTCTGTGGTACCCCAGATAATCGTTGCTGTAGTTTTTTGTCGACCAACCGGACCGTCTTTGAAGGGTCCTCTATTGGAGAGCTTCGGAGGGCAGTAGCAGCCACAGGATCCTGATGTTGGTTTCAAGCGGGCGGGAGGACCCCATTTTTGAATGAAGCGCCTCATGCAGCAGCCAACCAACTATGTTATCAAATCGTAGTAGGAGAAGGCCAAGAAAGTACCTCCATCTCACCTAATTAACGTAAAAATATCAATGGACACATTAGGGACAACTGACGGTGGTATGCCCCATTGGTGAAGGTCAACGTGGGGATTTCTGCCCAGATTCAGTTGGAAGTCGTAGAATGTTGCTGCACGTTATTTTTCGGTTCCCACGCTCCGAGGAAGGCAACCACCATGGGTCGGAATTTGACCTCTACAACAAACAACTTAGACTTTTATAAAAAGAAGAAACATGAATGAAAAAAAAAAAGAATTTTGCTGCACGTTAAAGAAACATACAAGTTGAATAGATCTTCAATCCAACTGAAGACTAGGCTTCATCACCTATATGAGGTGCCAAATAGAATGACTTA